AATACAAATGAGATAAGAGCTTTGGGTGAACTTTTTAGGAATAATTATGTTTTAGGAATGTCTACTTAAGAATAATCTCTCCAGATATTCAACAACTTAAAACATTTAGAGTTATGCTAAATTAAGTTAAAGGATGGAAGCTTATTAAATAACTAGTCCATTTCCAAATAAAATAAGATACTGAAACATTAATTACTGAACACTGGCTTCCTTTTAGATAGAAACAAAAGGTTTGGAATTATTTTAAAAATGTGTTTGGTGCCACACTGAGATATTTTCTATAAGAAAGCACATTCTTCAAAAATTATTATTTGGATGTATGTTTACTAATCTACAGAGAGCTGATATAAAGGACAGTTCATGGTTGCTTAAGGAAAGTAGGATGTATGTTTTCAGTAAAAAAGGTATGAGGAATGGAATTACATTTTATTAAGGAAAAAGGAAGTAGGACTGACTTACAGGTGACTGTTTCTGAATGGGAAAATAAAGTGATGGATACAGAAAGTGATAAAAAATGTTTGTGGAAAATGGACCCTGAGAAAAGAGTTTTATACATGGTACAAGTTTTCTTAAGATGTTGAACTGCCTTTGCAAAAATACTACCTCTTCAAGATTTATAGAAAGGACTTTCTAAGATTGAATTAAAATTAATTAGGTAAATAAATTTTGTGATTAACATAAGCTGGTACCAGACTGGAATTTGGTTCTCTCTCTCTGTTAAGAGAACAAAGTTTTCTTGGAATGCTGCTTTTGGTAACAGACTGTGTGAATTACCTTGCATTTTGAAGATTATGTCGCATGTAAAGTTCATTCTGCTTCTACAAAAATTAACCCCTCATTGCCAGACTTTTGCCATCCTGATATCCTTAAAATATGGCAGCAGTCTACTCCTAAATCAGGGAATTTAAGATGGGTAAACAATAGCTGTCAATCAAACAGTCAGGGCTATGGGAAATCCAAGACCGCCGCCTGGCTTTTTCTGCCTCCCTGACAATCCTCATTTTTTTATTTGACGGGATAAGTCTTCCCTGGCTGCAGGGTTAATGCCCTCACAATGGAAAAAAAAAAAAAATTACGTTTCACTGAATATTAAATTCTAGTTTTTTTCATTAAGGTCTGTGTTACCAAGACTCACTTCCCAGACAGTACCTTGCTGTTATATTATATTGCTAAAAAGTTTAACTGAATTATTAAAGGACACTCTAAGTTTGTTTCTGAAGCTTATCTCAGTAATCTATTTTTGGATGAAAATCAGATGCCCCATGACCCACAATCAGGGGATTATACACACTGGAAAAGACATAATTTAAAGGACTATTTCCAACCTGGATGGATGGGGACACATTTGGAGCTGGCTAAATGACTCTCTTTGTAACTACACCCTCAATTTTAATCAGACAAGCCTGGAGTGGGATCTCTGGTCAGAGGAGGATGAATATGATGTACATGAACATAATTTCACTTTGTGTTGGGGAAATTCAAGGAAAAATGCAACTAAGAAATATACTAATGAAGACCATAATCCCCCAAAAAAGTTCGGCCCTGGGAACTAAATATGTAGGGATTGGTGTGACCACCAGACACTTACTTAGTTAAACCTCCCGACAAGACTCTCCTCCAAAATATAACATAATTCAGCTAATATTCAGAAATTTGTTTGCCAATCTCCCCGTCACACTCATAATCAGTCAGAGCCCGGATTCTCTCCTTTATGTGTAGATGATTATTTCCTTGGAGTTTGGCCTTCCCAATATAAGCCTAGGCCATGGGACCTCAGTCTATTTCCAGAGGAAAACTCCCAAAAGGTCAGGGCCTGGCTCTGGGGACCCACAATGGGGGAATCCTTGAGGGACACCAGATTTTCATTTCTATCCGGTAATGGGGTCTATCTGGATCTTCCCACACTTTGGAGGGGCTTCTGTACTATTACTGCTGCAGTCCCAGAGGTGACCATTATGACTATAAAGGATTTAGCTTCCTCAGGAGGCATTCCCAACCTTGGGTCCTTCCTCGAGGAGGCCTTAAGACCTGTCCGGGAGAGACAAAAATGAACCACTGATTGGCGGGGACATGCTTATGATAACCCAATTCTTGATCGGCCCGAAATAATACACAGTGTCTTTAGAGGGCTCTCTTGGTTTGCAGGCATACCCCTCTTAGAGAGGAGCGTCCTCAATCTCACCATCATAATCCAGGAATCTTGGAAGGCTACGGTAGCAGCCACTGAGGAACAGCAGTCAGCCCTAGGCTCTCTGACCAAGGTAGTTTTACAAAATAGGAGGGCCCTTAATGTTATAACAGATGAGGCAGGGGGTGTCTGTGCCCTACTATGCAGCTTCTATACTAATACCTCTGGCCAGGTTGAAGAAGACCTTCAGATTCTAAAGAAAAACATCAAATTAATAGAATATTTAAAAGAGAGAACAGGACAGGGCCCCAGCTTGCTTTCCAACCTCCTCTCCTCTATGGGGATCTGGTTATGGACATGGCTATTGCCCCTGCTGGCACCATTAATCTTGATAGCCTTTGTTTTGTTGTTTAGTCCCTACATTATTAACACATTATTTAAGTTCATCTCCCGACAGGTTCAAAAGATTCAATTCCAGATGGTGCTACAACAAGGATACCAGCCAGTTGGCACACGGACTACATCGGAACAAGCCACCTTATCATTCCACAGGTTCTTATCTCCCTCTGTAAATACACCCTGAGAGAGAGCAGGCATTGGGACTCAGGGCCCCGCAACGCCCCTGTCCAGCAGGAAGAAGCTAGGAATGGTCATCACCCCTTTCACCAGTAACCTGGGTTCCTATGGCCTGAGACGGGGATAGGCAGATAGTTAGTCATGAGCGGTGTGTTAAGGGGCCAAAGATTTGGCCCATAAATAAAAAGAGGGGGAAACATGGAGCCCTACATCAAGGACACTCTGCATCAAGGACACAGGACAAAACTTCCGAAATTAACCAAGCCCCCATAGCAACTGTTGCCATGGGTCTCCTAATCTAAATCGGACAGCCCCCCAACTCCATATTAGGCAAAATAATCACCATGTAGTAACCTTGTAGCATCCTGACCAATCACCTAATGCCATCCTGCCAGCAGAAATTTTCTTTGTCTTGAGGCTATAAAAGTTGACTACTAGGGGCTTCCCTGGTCGCGCAGTGGTTGAGAGTCCGCCTGCCGATGCAGGGGACACGGGTTCGGGTTCGTGCCCCGGTCCAGGAGGATCCCACGTGCCGCGGAGCGGCTGGGCCCGTGGGCCATGGCCGCTGAGCCTGCGCGTCGGGAGCCTGTGCTCCACAACGGGAGAGGCCACAGCAGTGAGAGGCCCGCGTACCGCAAAAAAAAAAAAAAAGTTGACTACTAGCCCACAAAGGGGGTCAGCTCTCCCTGGTCTATCAGGAGGTCGGCCCAGTGTATTTGCAGAGCCCCTCACTAACTCTGCTCTTTGTTCTCAATAAACTCACTCTTTTCTAAAATACTTAGTGTCTGGAAATTCTTCTTCCATCCCGCGCTTGGACCATGACAAATATTATGTAAACCCATAAAATGTAAGTTCCAAAAGAAGACTGTTTCTATGAAATCTAAATTAAATGTTTTAGAAAAATACAATAAAAGTAAATTGCCGAAAAAATATTTTGAACTAGTGTGGATGAGAAAACTCCAACAGATTAGAATAAAATCATAAAAAGCTAGAGGGATTCTCACTTGGATTACTCCTAAAGGTCTTCCTCTAAGACTTGTCCACTTTAAAGAAAGGTATAAGAGCATCATTAACGCAAAATTGATGACACAAAAATTAACAGTAGAACCACAGTCAAAGAAAATGCCTAAGACTAATTCAACAGACTGGCAAATGTGCATTCATATGTTTTAAATTAAAATATTTAGGGTGTTATGTATTTTTTAATGATTTTCTGCTTTAACCAGTTTTTTTTATTATTAAATGAGGAAATAGTAATTCCAATCATATTGGCTAAGGGGACATCTTCTCTAATGAAAAAATACACAATTTGAGAAACACTATAATAGACAAATAGATCACTGAAATAGTCTTCAGAGATGGATTAAACAGGAAATTTGGAAAATATATATTCCAAATAGAAGATAGATAGATCAACTAACGATGCTGAGAATATCAACTAGTCATTTGGGAAAAAATACTATACAGCTGGATCTTTTTTGTATTCTTACCAAAAAAATTAGAAAAGAAAAATATATGATATATTAAGGTCAAAATATTCAAGAAAGCACTAATTATTTAATTAAGTTACAATTATGAGGAAGACCTTTTAAGCATAACATTACATATAAGCCATAAAGTATTAAAAACAAGACAACCAGCCCAAAATGGAGTTGTTTATTTTAAGTCCCACATCACCAAACTGAGACAATCACAGTTTCGGCTCTCCTAGAAGGAAAACTAAACTAATCAATCAGAAACCACCTGATCAGCACTAGTGGGGTCACCTGCCTGACAGACCCCTGCTATCCCCTAAAGGAAGGTAACTATGCATTAACCCACCGCTTCTCTCCCTACTTTATTTTTCCTCGTTCCTGCTCCCTTCTGCCTACGAAAGTCTTTCATTTTGAACAACTGCCCGAAGCTCCTTTCTATCTGCTAGACGAGATGCTGCCCGATTCAAATTGATTTTTGCTCAAACTCTTAAAATGTTTTCTAGGGGGCTTCCCTGGTGGTGCAGTGGTTGAGAGTCCGCCTGCCGATGCAGGGGACACGGGTTCGTGACCCGGTCTGGGAAGATCCCACATGCCGCGGAGCGGCTGGGCCCGTGGGCCATGGCCGCTGGGCCTGCGCGTCCGGAGCCTGTGCTCCGCAGAGGGAGAGGCCACAGCGGTGAGAAGCCCGCGTACCGCAAAAAAAAAAAAAAGTTTTCTATGCCTCAGTTTATCTTTTAACAGTTCTGTTAGTAACAGTAAGAAGCGGGGAGCGAAGGAGACCCCCGACGGCCCCAGGAGCAACGAGCAACCAGACGTGGTACCTGCTGAGCCCTGAGCTCGCTGCCTCTTCCGCCTCAGGAGGTGCTGGGTCCGCCCCTCTTGGAGTCCCGAAGTCTTTTGTCTCAGAAGCTTTTAGACTTCATTTAAACATTTCTTTCTCTAGACTCGGTCTGGAAACCAGTCGGAGGCGAACTGGGTCCGACTTAGAAACGCGACCGGGTAGGGAGGTGGGACCACGGAACTAGTTCCGGGTCAGACTTGGTCTGACTTAAGCAGGATTGGGCCCAGCGAGAGGAGTGACGTGAATAAAATTTTAAGTCCAAACAAGCAGGTTATCCTTACCCAGGGTAATCTTGCATTATAGTGGCCACAGCTGAGGATAATCTTGCACTATAGTGGCCACAGCTGAGAACTTTTAACCTGATAAGCTTATCCATTTACAAGTTGCCTTAGAGAAAAAGGGATCTCAGGCTAGCACTCACTATAAGGCGTAGAGGGAAAACTATTCTTCCTCCTCTTCAGTTTTTCGTGACCAGGATGAGGCTTGCTGGGACACCCCACTTACTCCAGAGCCTACAGAATCCTGGGGAAACTGGCAGAAGCAAAAAAAGGGTAAGAATTCTTAACAAAGTCAGCTCTCCTAGGTCTCTATCTGTGGTGCCTCGTCGAGAGAGCAAGGGAAAACTTCTCGTTGTTCCTTTCTTTCCAGATTCAGATTGGCAGGCAAAAACATTTGTAAGATTTATTCTGAATCGAATCGTGACTTGTGAATTTGCTTTCGGGCACCCACTGGTTGTCGACATATTCCTAGGGCCAGCTATTGCCTTCTTGTTTGTCTCGTTTTGTGTCCTGAGAACTTATCTTGGCTTTCTGCCTGACTGGGGCATGTGGGTTATTGTGTGTTCAGGAAGCTCCACTGTTAGTTTGGGGGCCCCAAAATATGGCTGGACATAAATGTGGATTGCAGTCCTTTGGCGGCCACAGTCATACTGGTGCCATCTCAAAGATCCCAGCATGATGCATACAAGTAGACAGTTCTCTAGTGCCAATTCATGGGCCCAGAATCAAAGCAAAACCACGTCTTTCTTTTTTTGATCTCCCTGTATCCAGTTGTCTTTTGGAATTAAGGGTTCCTGATTGATGTTCTATCCATTAATCTTAGACAACAATATGGGTTCATATATCTATTAATGTTTACAAAACAACATCACCACGGACACGACTGACCTAAAAGCCTGAGTTTCAGAGTCACCTATAGATAAATTAAGGATTATAACAAGCAGCAAAAATCAGTTGCCTTTTGGAAAAGATGACTTGATGAGAAGTCAGAAGGATATCTAATGATTCTGGGGTGGCCACTGCATAATTGAACAGCTTAAGTGAATATTGTGCATCCTTATTAAGTATGAACTCAATAACCAAGACTTTATTGATTAAAAATTATTCTCAAGTGTTTTGAAAAAGTATTATTACATTTTCATTTTTATTTTATATTTTCTACTTTAATTTTTGCAGTAACATGAGAAAATTGAAACATTTTTTAGTGATATTTAACTCATAAATATTAATATTTAACAACTTAGAAGCAATTTAACAGGTTATTAATGAAAAACTATATATTATAAACATGAATTATATCTTTTACTTAATATTATCATGGCTAACAGTAAAATCTGCATCTATGCTTACATAGTGGCTTTTAGGAAATTTCAAAATATGGTAGATAATAAGTTGACCAGTGTCTGCTATTTAAAGAAAATTGCTTGCATTTTCTAAAAATGATCGGCAGCTGAGTTTGGCACTCAAACTCAACCATTGGAAATCCCTGGTTGGTGAGGCTCTGGGGATGAAGACAGGCATATTTCATTTGTACACCCAAAAAGGATGGTAGTTCTAGAACTTTGCAACACATTGGGCAGGGACTAGAAACAGTTACTTGGTGGAAGTTGACAGGACTATTTAATGACTTGGGCCCCAGGGGTATATCCCAAAACCATGGAAAGAATTTCCAAGATCACTGTGAAATATGATTTACTGGACAGAAAATGGTGAAAGTCAACTGAAGAGAATCAGAAGTTTCCGTGAGAACTGGGAGTTTTCCTAAGAGTTGTTTTTCTATCTTCCATGAAATTAGCCATTTTCTATGTTTTCAACAGATTTTTTTCCTTTCCTAAAGTCTCGAAAAGAGGATGAATGGGGCAACATCACTGAAAGCCTCTTTGGGGATTTTTCTAATGATAATTCACTCTGAGAAGGAGCTCTGCATTCCTTTTATGTAAAATTTCCTATGACATAGCTTTGCACCTGAACTGTAGTATAGTTTTATGCTTTCAGAAAACCAGTGGGAAACTGGTTTCTCCCGTGATATGAGGGCTTCAGTGTCTTAATATATATGAGAAATACCTGGGGTAAAATTTAGTGCTATATTTAGCAAAAATGAATGCTTCTTCATACTAAAACAAAAGGTATACTTCTTTCTGCATTTTTTTGCAAATATAATCACCATTTATTCAGGAAACAATGGCTACATCTCATCACATACATATACATAAATGCTACACCTACCCTACACACACACACACACACACACACACACACACACACACATTTTCAGGGCTTATCCTATGACAAACATGATATTCTGTACCCTGAAGGCACAGAACTGACAAGGGGTAATATACTACTGCACCAGAGAGTCATAAGTGTGGCCAAATCATGAAGTTTTAGTGGTGTGAGAGGAGAGGACTTTCTCAATACACAGTGACAGTTGTCACTTAGATGCGTCTCCAGCCCTACCCCCTCATTTCATGGAGGGATGAAGTTGCAAACATAAGTAAACAATAAAAAGAAAGAAAACCTTTTTACCAAAAAAAAAAAAATCTGCAATATATTGGAGCCCAAACCTCACAGCTTTAATATACTGAGGGAAACATAGTTTTCAGGGCTTATGGAAAGGCCTTCTCTTCCCTCCTGCCCAGAGAATAGAAGGATGTTCATGCTTTAGGAGTTCCACAGAAAACAGCTCTGCTGGGGCCCCATGGAGGAGGGCGGAGGGTTTGTTGTAGGCTTGCAGTGCAGTATGCAATAACGATATCTAGGAGAAGTGACAACATGAAAAGGCTGCTAGAGCTCAGAAAAGGAAGCAAGCTGTGTATACCATGTGGTACACTACAGGACTTATGTCTGAGTAGGCAAGAGAATCTGGCTAGAGTGCAGCTGCGGAGAAAAAACAACATATGCCTTGGAATATATACAATGTGTGATGCTGTGTTGAAAGTAAACAGTGTGTGTCTATAACATAAATAGAGAAGTGCAGATAGAATCCATGTGTAGACAAATACAGTAAGTGGGGTTTTTTTTAATAAATGTGAACACTTATTTTTTTTAATGAATTTATTTATTTTTGGCTGTGTTGGGTCTTCATTGCTGCGAGCAGGCTTTCTCTAGTTGTGGTGAGCAGGGCCTACTCTTCGTTGCGGCAGCTTTTCTTGTTACGGAGCACAGGCTCTAGGAGCACGGGCTTCAGTAGTTGTGGCATGCAGGCCCAGTAGTTGTGGCTTGCAGGCTCTAGAGCGCAGGCTCAGTAGTTGTGACACATGGGCTTAGTTGCTCCACAGCATGTGGGATCTTCCCAGACCAGGGCTCGAACCCATGTCCCCTGCATTAGCAGGTGGATTCTTAACCACCGCGCCACCAGGGAAGTCCTCAGTGTTAAGAGTGGTTAAAAATGGGTGGTTGGATATCTGCAACTTTAACATTCTTTGTATAATTTTCTATTTTTCCAGTTTTCCTGTGATTAAGTATGCTTTATAATATACAGTGCTTTATAATAAGAAAAGTTAACAATGTTAAGATGATTTTCATCTTTACTCTTATTTGGTCGACAAAAATCCTGAAAAAGCAATTGGTACATTATCAAAATCCTCTGGATAGACATCCAGGAACAACAGCTTTAGAAATTCCAAAACTACTGAATTTTTCTATTTGAATTAGCACTTTAATGTATAAGGTTCATTGTATGTCCAGCATTATCTCAAAGTTATAGAATAACAGTCCATAAAATCTTTTATTACTTTTGTTTCAGCACATATCTACCTACCAAATGAGCTTATTATTTTTTAAAAAGAAACAGCTGCTTATTCTTTCAAGAATGAAATTGTAAAAGTTTGCTTTTGAATCATATTATTGTATAAAATTATATAAATAACTACTTCTCTAGTTGAATTTTATCTTTTATTTACCACCCAGATGCAATGGAGAAAAAAATTAAAAAATAAAATTCTAGGCTATATAAAAATATTGCTAACATAACATTTATTCTCCATTTAAACAGCAATGCAGGCACACTGCAAAGGAAATATTTCCATATGGCATGCATAAACACCCTGGTTAGTGATCCCTTAAGAGTTTCTGTGCTGTAATATGTTTGAAGACTGGGGGAATATTTCTATAGCATTTTCCACATTTTTGCATTTTTTCTTACTATAATTTTTTCATATTTACTTTAAATCATATGCCTCTATTACTACTTTTTTGTGTATAGACTACTCTTAACTACTATCAAAATTGTTGAATATCTTTGGTTAGTGTGTACTATTTACCTTTGAAGCTAGAAAACTGATTTCTAAGGAGAACCAAAGGTATATAAATATAATGTATGCATGTATACCTATGTATATAGGTGTGTATATACATACGTACATATATGCATATGTATACACACAGATATACATACATACAGGACATCATGGGATTTTTGCTTGAAAAATAAATTATGGCAGACCAAACACTGGTAGGAAGAGATGTGACTGAGACAGGAAGAGGTTTGCCCAAGGAGAATTGATATTATAATTCAGGAAAAACAAGTAAGGTTGCTTTATTCCCCATCTCCCTTCCATTTTTTAAATATATCTCTGTTCATATATTTCCCATGGTGTTTCTCAGAAGCTTAATCTCTGGAAATAGTACTAGTAGAAAAAAAAATCATGGTCAAGAAATATGGGGAAAAGCTACACAGTAATATTGCTTTCTGTAAGAACTTTAGAATATTAAAGGCTCTGAGAAGTTCTGTAATAATAAATCTGTCCAATTTTTCCCGAATCTC